AGAGAACATCCACTAATATGGATTTCGATCAATGATGGCTTAACTGTTGTATTTTATTTTATTTTTCCATTTTTAAGCAATTTTCTTCTATTTATAATGCACTATCGATTATATTCTACTGTACTTATTAGTTTTTAATTTGAAAATGTAACTTTGTTTGAAAAATTATTCTTATTTTTTGTAAAGTTATAAATTTATTTTAAATATATCAAATTACACTTTATTTACATTGATTTCTTTTTATAACTTCCTTTGCTTAGATTAAGGCAAATCTAAAGTTTGTGTTGTAAACCATTGCATTTTTATATATTTTTTAAAAGAATGTCTTGGTAAAATTTAAACGTCTCTTGGACGTCTGAAAAAGACGTCCTTAAGTCTTTAAAATTAGGCCAGAGATGTCTCTAGAACGTCAAAAAACGTCTCTAGGATGACTTAAAAAGACGTCTTTAGGACATCTGGAATAGACGTCCTCAAGCCTTTCATTTGAGACCAACTAAGGATGTCTTATAAACGAGACTTAAGACTTCTTGCGGACGTTCTTAGGACGTCAAAATGCCCGCTGGGGGTGTAATAAATACCCTCCATCGATGATGTAACTAGCATTTGTGTTGTCAATCTGTGTTTAACGCATTCCAGTTTTATCAAACATTGATAAAGGATAGAGGGCTAACTCATACTCAAAATATTTTTCTATTTCATCCTCAAATGTCTTAGTAATACTCATACGTTGAAATAGTAATAATGGATCTAAAGGTACTTTCTCATCATTAACTTTTATGGTGCTTATGGTTAGAAGAAGAAGAACTTTATCAGCGCGTTTTAATTTGATATAAAACGTTTCATCAATCATTTTAGACATTGAAGTAATCCCAACTTTATAAGCTTTATGACAGTTGATTTTATTATCACAAACCATTCTACAACCAATTGAAATGATTTCTTTAATTTTAGGAAAAGGATCATGTAATAAAAATAAGTGCTAAAGATTTTCAATATCTTTATCATCTTTCTTTGTTTGTGAATCATTTGCATCTGCATGCTGATCTGTTATGTACGTTTTAATATCAGCAAGATCTTCTAATCCTTCACACACAGTGTTCATGTCATGCATGCCATAAACCCATTTACTTATAACACTCTCTTTTGTATTTCTTCCTTGAGAAATACCTCCATATATCTTCATTGATTTTATATTTGATTGCTCAATTACCATATTTCGTTGATGTACCACAATTGAGTTTATCAGAACGTCTAACAGTGAAGAATCTTTCAATAAACCGTTAATAAACACTTTGATTCATTAACTTCTCTAATTGTAGCACATCCTGTAGATATCATTGCGCAGACTTAGCATAAGAAAAATGTCCCTATGCGTGGAAATAAGGAAGTATTTCTTTAATGCTGTTCGAACAACCTTGCCAATTTCCCATGCGTTCAGCTCTAATAAACTCCTTTGCAACGACACCATATTAAGATATTGCATCCATATTTTTGAAGTAGGTCCTCGTTTTTTAAATTTTTTTAGTTTTTCATTGAACTTATAAAGTGCATCGGACATTTCATTATCACTACATGAAACTTTGTTATTTATGACATCCTTAATGGTAATATCATAATTTGAGACTAAGACTACCATCTTCTCATCAGTAACAAGATCTTTTGAAATTATTATAGCTAAATTGAGCTCAAGTAATGTATGGGCTCTAACAGCTCTAGCGTAAGTATGCCCATTGTGCGTTTTTTCTAACGACTTAGGTGTATAAATTTACGAAAGTGCCTCTTGTATGCCACTTCCTTGCATAATGTAACCAATTGATCCAAAAAAGACATTAGTAAATGAAATACTCCAAGTCTTATTATGATCTTTGATAATTCAGATCCATCAGGTTCTTCAAATACCATTTCTCGAGCTTTTGTATACAGAAATCGTTCTTCTTCTGTATATATAAAAACGAAATCGTTCTTCTTCTTCATTTTGGCTTATCTTCTTATACCAAGTTTGGGTAAGAATATCGCTATGACTGTTAAAGAAACAAATAAACGTTAATTTTCCCGGTTTTTCAGTGATAATAATTTTATTACCGAACTTCAACTTTAATTAAGTCTTAATTGTTCTGTTATGTAAATGTGGGTTTTTGCAATTTTTTTTTAATTCTTCTAATGAAAACTGGCAATCATCGCTGTTTTCAATATATTTAAATATTTTCTCCATTGCAACATTCGTAGATTCATCTTGAGGACGACCGATTTTACATCCATTGGTTGGTCTCAAGAAAGAATTATAACAGGTATTATGGTATTTAACCTCAGCAGCATCTAAATCAAATTCATATTCAATGCGTGCAGTAACCTTTTTTGCTTTCTCATCAGAATGACTCTATGCTACCTTCAGAATTGATTCTTTAAATTCAAGAGTAGCAACTTTATGAATTTTACGCCGAACTTTCATTGATTTCTTCTTCTCGGCCTCCAAGTTCGCTTTATCTCCGCAAAATAAGCAACATTTTAGATGACATTCAAATTAAATAGATGACATTCAAATTAAAAGAGTAACGGCTACAAATTTTTTAGGGATTTTTATTGATGAAAATCTGACATGGAAAAAACATATTGAAAACTTATCCTCTAAAATTTCCAAAAGTATAGGAATACTATTTAAAATAAGAACCATGCTAAATAAACATACTTTAATTCAGCTTTACCACTATTTTATTCATTGCCATCTAAACTATGCTAATGCGGCTTGGGGTAGTGTAAGGAAAACTAAATTATAACCACTTTATCGCCAACAGAAACATGTTGCACGACTTATTAATTTTAAACATCGATTTTATTATGCTAAGCCTCTTTTAAACGAAATGAATATTCTTAATATATATCAACTTAATATTTTTAATGTATTGTGTTTTATGTTTAAATGTAAGTCTCGCACATCTCCAATTTCTTTTCACAATTTATATTCTTTAAAAGTTAAAAATAAATACAATTTACGTAATGAAAATTTTATTCTTCAACCAGTTTTCAAAACTAATTTTGGTAAATTTTGTATTTCATTTAGAGGAGCATTTTTATGGAACAAAATAGTGTTAAAACTTTTTGATCTCTCTCTTGAATGGAACTTTTTCTTATTTAAAAGAAAATTAAAAGAAATTCTTTTCTCAGTTGAAAACATTCTGATATATTTTTAAGTTTGTTTTGTTTTTTGTTAATACTCTTAAGAAATATTTAATTGTAATTTATATATACGAAATCTTTTATCTTAACTTATATATATATGTATGTATATGTATATGTGTGTGTGTGTATATGTGTATGTATGTATGTGTATATGTATGTGTGTATATATATATATGTATATATGTGTATATGGATATATGTATATATATATATATATGTATGTGTGTATGTATATTTATGTGTGTACGTATATATGTATGTGTATTTGTGCGTATTATATGTATGTGTATATATATATATATATATATATATATATATATATATATATATATATATATATTGATGTGTAAGTATATTTATTTACATGTTTGTATGTTTAAATATGTATAAATAATTATATTTGTATTTATGTGTGAATATTTGTCTATGAATTATTAAAGGATTATTTATTATTTAAAAACTGTTTAGGCGGTTCTCGATGACAAGATCTTATGATCTTCTGCGAGTATCCGCGTTCTTGTTGTAATGTTAACAAAATTGTAATTCTGACTATACGTATTTTATTCATTCTTATATTGTAAAACTTATTTTGAATAAATAAAAAGAACAAAAAAAAAAAAAAAAAAAAAATTTTTTAACAAAAACGTGATTCACTTACGCGCGCTCTGATGCGAGGTGGACTATTTTTAGATGTGCTGACTTGATCTATATCTTGCTGTCTTTTAAATGCAGCAATAGTACTCTTCCGAGTATACTTTTTACGGCATTTTACCATTTAAAATGCCGTAAAAAGTATACATACGGCTTTTTACCACATGAATCGTCACAGACTTCAGATTATTCAGGTATTCATAAAAACCGCTCTTTTAACACTTGTATCAATCAAAGTCTTCATTTCATGATCAACAACAACAGTTTCATTTGCTGTTTAAAGTTTACTACAAATAAAACATAGTTGCGACATTTTAATAAAAGTGTTAAACGGCTCCAATATATATTAAAAAGTACTACTCGATACTATTCACTGCAACTGAACGTTCATCACTAAAAGAATTTTATTGTTCGTAACTTTGATCCAAGAATTTTGGGAAGTCAGACGAGAAAAATCAGTTTAAAAAATTATTCGAAAAAAGCATTTTTCATTGTTTTTATATAAGATCAGAGAAAAGCTGTTGAAACAGTTTATTCAAAAATGCTTTAAAATACACTTTGCATTTGTTTGATCTATTTTTATGCTAAAACATTTCCTTTATTTTTAAAAAAAACAACTTTTTTTTATACATTTCACCTTAAATAACTTTTTTTTGCATATATGGGTTCGATGTAAACTTTTAATACTTTATTTGTGATTATGTGCCAAAGTATCTACCAATGTTCAGCTCTAAGCGAATTATTGCAAATCTACCACTATTTTTTTGTCTATTTTGACCGGATTAATTGCAATGTTTTTTCACCTTTAGATTTAATTACTTATAACATGATAGTTTTTTTTCATTGATATTTATATAAGTATTGAAGTAAAGTAGAAACAAATAGAAAGAAAAAAAGTTTAATGCAATAAATTGTACCGAGTTTAGCGAGTGCTTAACTGAAACTTTTGACTTTTTATGTTTTTGGTTTTCTATTAAACTATAGTTCAAAGTAATCGCTTTAATATTGAACTATAGGTTTTAAAAGGTATTTAAATTTTTATTTAAAAATAAACATGCATACTTGGTTTTATTTATAATTAAAAACAGAAAAAAAATGTTAAACAAAAATAACTATTGTAATTTAATGTCTAAAACTCTGAAAATTACATAAACTAAAACAAATTATTTTACCATATAATGTATCTAGTGTGCATAAACCTTCTTCTTTAAACTTTTCGTTGAAACTTAAATAGGTGCTAGTATGGTCGCGGCCGTGAAAGTACCTATTATGACCAGTAATGAGTTGTTCTTTTGGTGATGGTAAAAGTCGAATAGAGTGAAAGATACGTTTTAATAAATAACACAGTAAAAATAATCCAATAAATAAAACTATGAGTGCTAGACATACTAGAAACATATCTTCTATAGCGTTATTCTATTAAAAAAAAAACACACAAACAAGCTATAGTTATAGTTTATAAACTAATCAAAAACTATTAGTACTAATTACACCATTTTAATACTTGACATACTTTAAAATCTTTTCAAACTTTGTAAAACATGGTTTTTAATATTTGCACTTCTCGTTGTTTACACTAGTTTCATTGTTCAATAATTACAATGTTTATTTTAGTATTTTGCGCGTGTTTTTTACTGGCAATATAAAAAAAGCAAAGTAGGGATTTTTAATAAAATACGCTTCACTAAATTTGTTTAATAAAAAAAGTAGGAGATTTTTTCTCATTTGCACCGCAATTTTTATTGAACTGAAGCACTATTTTAATTTTAAGTTTATTATAGACACTGCGGCGGAAAACTTTTGAATTATTTTTTAGTTATTTATTAAATCATGGACGGATAAATTGATGGATGTTTTACGCATTGTAATCAATCTAAAGAATTCTAAGAGACTTACAGTTTTAAGCTTTTTTTTTTTTTAAGTAAATTTTTCAAAATAAACCGACATTTAACTGACATTTTTGCTTTGTTAAACTCATTCAGTAAACATTTTATTACCCATAAAAACTAACTTTGGAAAATTCAAATGCGTTATATGCATTTAAGAATGTCTCATGTTTATGAAAATATAATAATTGTTGCTTTGTTTATATAACAATATGTAACAAAATTTTACTTTTGTTCTATTCCTGGGTTAAAAGTGTGTTTTCCTAACCCGTTATGTCTAGAACAGAAAGGAAATTGCTGTTATTCAACCAAAACTTTGCTTCTGTGACCGGAATAGGGAAATTTGGACAATCGCGTTTTCTCGAGAAAATTCTTAATTTGATTTCAATGCCAAGCTTCGTGTTATTGTAGACTGAAATTGTGTTATTGCAGACTAAAATTAAAATGATTCGTACTTGAAGAGAAGTTAATTACTTGATATGCTTGATATGGCATCAAGATGATGTTTGCATCTAGCTGATTTAATCTGCAAAGAGTGCAAATAGTTCATAAAGAAAAGAACGAATAAGTATTTCACGGAGGCAAATTATATAATGGGCGAGACCTACAAGGCATACTTAAAAATGACTAAAGAACCAAAACTATAAAACACAAAATATCATTGTCATCACCACGTTCTCTAAATCTATTATTCACTAATACGCTTTGTCATCGAAATAATTTTTTTTCTGCTGAATCTTATGTCTTGCAATGTCAAACCTTGCTGACTTTGCAGACCAAAGACATACTTGCTCTTTGTGAGATCAAAATGATTTTATCTGTCTTATCTTGTGATCTTAATGTTGATGTTTATCTTCCTTTAATTTATAAAGACTCCAATAGTCACATGTATGGCAATTGTATTTGTAAGAACTCATCCATTTGTTGAAAAATTAGATTTAAATCCACAGACTATTCTTTTATGTGCTTTTATTCAACACCACTTCACTTTATCACATTTCTCTTTGTTCTATATCACTCTAATTTACTCAAAACTGCACTCATTTCAATATTATTCCTGACCAAATTGACCCAGCTCTCTTCCTTTATTCTTCAGCCAATTTCTTTGTTGTTGACTTTAATGTTGTCACACTGAATGGCTTGGCTCTAGTGTCAGTGGCTCTGCAGGCGTTAAGCCCTACAACTTTTGCTTTTCTCAATCTCTAACTCAAATAGTCAACTTTCCAAATCGTTTTCCAGACAATCCTAATAATTTACTTTTTCGACTCAAATTGCGTCTTGTTTCTGATCAAATTTAGTGCTCAGTTTTTACACGTTCATTCTGTGATGTTTTTTGATCACGGTTTAATCTCTTTAAAACACTTATCCTATTCTTCTTCATCATCAGAATTCCTCAATTATTGTACTCATACAACTACCTAAAAGCTAACTAGGACTTTTACCTGATTTTCTCCGCCTTTTGCTAGAAAACTTTTGTGTACCTTCTGTAAAAAATTTGCGTCTTACGTAACTTCTTAGATTTAGGCAGGCATGGAATCTTTTATTACCTTGCCAATTCAAACCTTACTCTTCTCCATGGTTTTCCTCACATTATGCTGCTGCAATATCCAATTAAAACCATTACTTCCAAAACTATCAGTAAAACAGTTTCCGGAAAACAGACGTCTGTTTATAATTTCTAGAAACCATTAAAAAAAGGTTTTGTCTAACGCAAAAGTCCGCTATTCTCAGGTCATGAATTTTCGTATTTTATCTAAAAAATTATGCTGTCGTGACTTCGAAAGATTTTTTAACAGTGTCTATAATAAAAGCAAATTTGTTGTTTTATCTCTCATGTATGGTTCAGATTTTTTCATTTCACCTAAAGAATAAGCTGAATTGTTTGACGAGAAATTCTTTTTAGTATTTTCTCTTGATTCCACTAGTCACATTTAACCTGATATAGCCGACAAACAGGTTAAACCGATGCTTGACGTTCGTATCACTCCAGCCTCAGTATTTAAAGTGATTTCCTGCTTAGACTTTTATATAACTTAGGGTTCTGACAACATACTTATTATAGTCTTGCAAAAGTGTTCTCCAAAGCTTTACTTTCAAAACTCGTTAACAAATGAAGAGTTCAGTGGAAAAAACGGCAACATTTCACATTTAAAACAATTTGAGAAAGTATATATTGATCATTTATAAAAGTCTTTAAATGAAACAAAAAAGTCTGAAAATTAGCACAAAAAAAAATTTCTAGATCAATTTTTTTTAAGTTAACAATTTTAATAAAATTTTTGTAATTTTTATTTAAAATATTTATTACCTTTTTATTTTTAAACATTAATTGTTATTTTTAAATATTAATCAAGTGCTTCTGTTTACGAAAGAATGGTTCTAGTTTTGTTTTATTGGTAGTATCCCATGCTATATTAACGTAGTTTAGGTAACTTTGAACAAAGTTATAGTAAATTTGTTTGAGTAATAGTTTTTAAATGTAACTGGACTAGTATATTATTCCAATGCTTTTGGATATTTTACTAAGTAAATAAGTGTATGTTTATTTTGTCCAATGTCCAATTTTTGTCAATAAGAACACCCGAAAATTTTGTAACAGTATCACAACTTATTTCTCTATTTTCAATAGTAGAAAGTACAGAAAAGAAAACTTAACTTCTTTATTTTTAAGGAAGGATGAAATTGATAGTTTACTTTCCCTAAAGCATTCTGAGTTTTTTCTCATTGTACATTTCTACGCACAGTTCACTAATAACTTTTCTAGAGATAAAAAAGTTACTATAATCAGCAAAAATTATAGTTGAAATTTTTGTTGATATCATACAGAAATTGTTTACATAGATTAAAAAAACAAAACCCAAGTATTGATCCTTGAGGTACACCTCACTATTAAAGATAGAATGGAGAGTTTATTGTCTCCATCATATGCATATTGTACACGTTTATCTAAACAGCTTTCTATCCACTTGTTTGATCTACCCGTTATGCAATACATATTAAGTTTTGACAATAATATTTTGCGTTCGACTGTATTAAAAGCTTTAAAGAGATCTACAAAAACACCTAAAGTAGCTTCTCCGTTTGTAAAGGAGTTTTTTATTTTTTCAATTGAGTGAAGAATTGCATGTTGATTTACTTTTTTGAAAATTAAACTGCTCGCAATAAATAAGATTATTTCTTTAAAAAATGTATATTACCTATTGTGAATAAGTTTCTCAAGTATTCTAGAGAATGTTGAAAGTATTGATATTGGTCTAAAATACCCTATTTCACTTGTATCTCCTGATTTAAATATAGGTTTTATTTAACAGTTTTTAGTACTTTAGGAAAAATGCCTTCTTTTGAGAGTGTTTAAAAACTTTGAATAAAGGAATTTTTAGCTTATTGTAGCAGTTAATTACTTTGTTGCTATTGACATCCTCATTCTCTCAGTGGACACGGACGTAAAAAAGACGTCTTTTAAACATCTTATACACGTTTTGGACGTCTTTTGAACGTCTTTTGAACGTTTTGGACGTCTTTTAAACGTTCAAAAGACGTCTTTTTTTGGTCCGGTGCCCACTGGGCTAGCATGGTATTTTTTGTTATTTAAATAATTTCTATTACGACTTAAATATTTATCAAAAAATTTATTTACGCAAGGAATTTAAGATGCAAGTTTAGATCGTATATTAACAAAAGATTTGTTAAATTCATTTGCAATGTCACTTGCAAATGAATTTAACAAATCCACAATTTCAAAAATACATGTACATGATATGTAATTATAATTTTACAAAGAATACAATTAAAACTTATTTTTTCAAAAAATATTAAATGAAAACCCCAAACTAATATTATAAATGCCAGGATTTGAAAGTTTTAATTGAAGTTTTATTCTTCTGTTGAATCTCAATCTGCAATAGGTTTTACTCTAATTGACAATGGTTCTGCTGTTATCGTAGTTAACCAAACAAACTTCGTGTAACTGATATGTTCAGGGTCAACAGAAAATTCGAATTGCAACAACGCTTTGACCAAGAATGTTTTGATTTCAAGCAAAGCAAAATTCTTTCCAATGCAGTTATATATACCGTGCCCAAAAGTAAGATAGAATGTTGCTGGTATTTCGCCTAAAAAGTTCAAAATGTTTAGAATAACAATTTTTTTACTTACAATTAGTAGTAGTTTTTTGTATGTTATTAATTTCATATTATTGTTATTTTTTTTTTTTTTTTCAATAAACATGAAAAATGGGGTAATAACAATTGTAAATAATTTTATAAAATAATTCACTAAAATAAATTATTATTATCAATTCAAGATTTTAGCGTCACGCAGTAATTTAAATGTTTAGTATCACAACTAGCATTAGCATTAACTTCTTAAATATCATTGCAGGTGCAAAAAAGAAAGTCATAAAATTAAAAAAAACCTTGATTTGTTTGAATAAACTCAAAAATTATTAAGATCCAATTACAGAGCTGGAAACACCGAGTGGCAAGGGGAGCACTGCCCACCCCAACCCCTACCTTTTTTTTAAAGGATCATTTTATCTTTCAGAAATTTCTAGATTTAGAAGACTTTTTTTTTAAATCGACGTTTGTGCCTCTCTACTTCAAAACCTGTGTCGTCGGCTATGAATTATTTGACATTTTTTTAACTAGTGGTTTAAAAAACTCTTTTTAATAAAAATTTCTTGAAAATATTTATAACTTAAGTCTTATGAGAGTAATCTATAAACATTTAAAACTTCCCCCGTTTGCTGCAAGTATACGGGGGAAGTTCTAAATGTTTTTGAACCTGAATTTAAATCAATTTTTCATTTACTAAAAATAAAAAACATGTTAACTTTTTTATTTATGTAGCTGCAAAACTATTTCTTGGTCGCAAATGCTGCTGATTTTTGAGTGGATTGCGATGTTAGAGATTAGAGTAAATTTATATAAGAAGGAAATGAAGTAATAGTCAAGTATAAAATGCCCTATAAATGGGGCATTTGATACTTGACTTACTATTGAAGCCATTTATTATATTCAAGTATAAAATGCCCTATAAATAGGGCATTTTAATATTATATTCAAGTATAAAATGCCCTATAAATAGGGCATTTTTTACTTGAATATAGTAAATAGCTTCAAGTAAAAATTATGAAAAGGCTTTGAAGACAACTTGGGGTAGCTTTGGTTTATGCTTAAATATTATTGAAAAAAAAATTATATATTTTTTTTTTATATTCTGTTATATTTTTGATTCATGTTTCAAAAAATATGCCTATAGATATAACAATAATGATTTAATTTTCAACTTTTGTTACTAAGATAAACTAACAGATACTACAATAATCGAATATATTGGGTAGATATTAGGCAGTTAGGAAGAAAAGAGTTCGGTGATAAATAGGTAAATTTATTCCTAAAGGGAAACAAGCAATTAAATTTGTACAAGTAATATTAAAGTTTCTGCTGTTACTTATTTAATATTACTTCTAAACAGGCATGGATGAACAGGCATGGGTTTATAAAATGGTCAAAGATGAACAGGCATGGGTTTATACAATGGTCAAAGATGAACAGGCATGGGTTTATACAATGGTCAAAGATGAACAGGCATGGGTTTATACAATGGTCAAAGATGAACAGGCATGGATTTATACAATGGTCAAAGAGTGAATTATTTGACTGCAGCTGTCAAGGTTTAGATTACAGCTATACAGGACATTATTGTATAAAGGCATGTCTACAAAAGTTATCAGGCAATTCAATTCACGTTTTGAGCTATACTCTTGTCATAAGACATGTAAAAAAGTCAGACTCTCTTCCCACTACAAAAATAAATCACAAGTTTCGGTAATCCCCAACCAATAAGGATAGCCCAACATAACCCAACACTCCATGTAGGTTTCAATAAAGCTGAGAGTATGGTTATGTGTATGTGAAAATATGTTGGAAAATAGGGTTCTTTACTGAATTTTGGCTAAAATTGACAATTCATCAAGTTTACCTCATTGTTGTTCAATCAATAATTAGTTTTCAGCAAAGCTTGAGGTTTACAAGGGTCGATCAGAGGTTAATTCCATACAACAATAGAAAAATTTAAAGAATAAAAAATGATTAAATCAATAAACTAATGTTCAATAAATATATCTTACTGCCCAAAGTAAATTGTTTATTTTATATTTTACTATTGTTTAGAGTAAGTTTGAAAATTTGGACCTAATAAAACTATTTGACAAAGTTTGACGTTTTTTTACATGTTTTAATGTTATATTATAAATGAATGTTTTAGATCTTAAAATACGAACTTAAAATTATTTATTCTTAAAATCATTATTACCACTCAAATTTACCCAAAAAAAGTAAAGACATTTATACTAATTTTTCAAAAATTTGTGTCATTTTTATGCATCACAGAAAATAAAAGTTTTTAAACGTAGAATCTTATTAATTAAAAGTAACATAAGTTATAAACGTGGCTATTATACCATGGTTAGTTTGTATTTGAATGAACTAAATCTTTAAATGTTGTAATATATAACTTCAAATCGTTATATATAATTAGGGCAATTATTTCCATTATAATGCAAAGTAATCGTTCACTTCAGATCAAGATCTTCATTATCCATCCGATCTAATCTAATTATTCATCCGATCTAATCTAATTATCCATCCGATCTAATCTAATTATCCATCCAATCTAATCTAATTATCCATCCGATCTAATCTAATTATCCATCCGATCTAATCTAATTATCCATCCGATCTAATCTAATTATCCATCCGATCTAATCTAATTATCCATCCAATCTAATCTAATTATTCATCCGATCTTATCTAATTATCCATCCGATCTAATCTAATTATCCATCCAATCTAATCTAATTATTCATCCGATCTAATCTAATTATCCATCCGATCTAATCTAATTATCCATCCGATCTAATCTAATTATCCATCCAATCTAATCTAATTATCCATCCGATCTAATCTAATTATCCATCCGATCTAATCTAATTATCCATCCGATCTAATCTAATTATCCATCCAATCTAATCTAATTATTCATCCGATCTTATCTAATTATCCATCCGATCTAATCTAATTATCCATCCAATCTAATCTAATTATCCATCCAATCTAATCTAATTATTCATCCGATCTAATCTAATTATCCATCCGATCTAATCTAATTATCCATCCGATCTAATCTAATTATCCATCCGATCTAATCTAATTATCCATCCAATCTAATCTAATTATCCATCCGATCTAATCTAATTATCCATCCGATCTAATCTAATTATCCATCCGATCTAATCTAATTATCCATCCAATCTAATCTAATTATTCATCCAATCTAATCTAATTATCCATCCAATCTAATCTAATTATTCATCCGATCTAATCTAATTATCCATCCGATCTAATCTAATTATTCAATGAGCATTTTTATAACTTTTTACTGTAGTATTTAGTTCTTCTCATCAACATCCATTTAGTCTTTAATTTCTAAAGATAAAATTTCTGCAAAGTACTTGCAAAATTAGATGCAGATTTTTTCGCTAACCACAGATTGCATCAATAGTTACTCTCATTCATAGAAAATTATCTAATACAAATTTAAAGACCAAGAAAAGATGTTGTCAACTTATAATCATTCTATTTATTATTTTAATTTTTGACTTTTAACATTGCAAACATTCTATTACATTACTCCAACTTTTCTTTTTTCATTTGATGCTGATCCATGCATGCAGTATTTACAACAGTTTCAAATAATAGCTAATTCAATTCAATTTTTATCCTTGCTTATAATCTCTGACATTCAGTGGTATACATAATTCTGATTTTTATCAAATAAAGAATAAAATTTTTTTTCGCTCGATTTTTTCAAAGTTAGGTGAGGTATTATGGGCCTTTGTATCAATTTTTTCCTTTTTCTTTCCCGTTTCCGTAGAATAGCAGATGAGTGGAAATTGACCTTTATCGAAACGTCTGTTACATATTATTTACTTTTAATTTATACTTTATTGCTTTAAATTTGTAAAGTTCTTTGCATTTAAACGTCTATTGAAATACTATTATTTTGAAAACTTGCTAAAATAGTTTAAATAAGGTACATACTTAATAACTAAAAAAACACATAGATTACTCCTTTATTTTTTGATCCCTTTTTTATCAACTTTTTATTTACCTGCTGTTCTATATCCACATTTTTTATTCACTTTTTTCCAACTTTGCACCTTGTTTGTATGAAAGCCTCCTGCATTGTAGTCATTCGTAAAAGCAAAACAAATGACAATTCAGAATTTCATTACAACTAGACAATGGCAGTTCTTGATAGTGCTGAATGGAAATCACTAGGTCTTATTTTGGAATCATCAGTAAGAATGCTGGTTCCTTATTCATCAGACTGCATATTTGAATTTAAAGATATTCTTTTGATTCATTTTTATACTCTTTTTGTGACAAAATGTCTTCTCTGTTTGATTGTTTAGAATAGGTAGCCGATCTTGAATCTGAACTCACTTCTAAAACAGATTGGAGCTTGCAGTGGCTTGTAAATTTTTTTTCTAACAGAACTTGGTTATTCACAGCTAACAACTACCGCAATACTATTTCACATTCTTATAATAATGAATGGCAATCATCTCACTGAGTCTTCCTCTTTACGTCTTTTTGGATTATTGTTCACTTGTGACCTTTCATGGAAACCTTATGAACAATTGATTGCTAGATAGTATTTGCTAAGGTTGCTTCTTTTTATTGTGCTTACCTTTACCTTTTTTCTGATATCATTTTTTACCTCTACATCTCTTTTTGCCCCTGTATGGAATATTTTGTCATATTTGGGCTGGTTCTTCTAATTATGCTCTTTTTTTCCTATACAAGGCCCAAATTTGTTCATTTATTTTTTTCCGCACTTTAACCCTTTGGATCTCTCTACCAACTTCATGTTTTGCAAACTCATACAACCTACAACTTTTCAAGTTTTTTCTGTCAAACGTTTTCTTGCTCTTTAACTATATTCTTTGTTTTCTAGTTGTTCCCAAATAATTATTGTTTTTTGTAGTCTAGTTATTATATTTAAAATTTTTAATTGCTTAAAATACAGCATAATTGAATGTGTTGCA